AAGAGAAGCAGTGCTATTTACAATTTTAGTATGTTCAATTAAAGGCATTGGACTTTCATTACATACCAAGAGAAAATACACATATTTTGACCTTTTTGTGGGTTTCAAAATAAATGTCATACAAAAATCTGAAAACCACATCAAAAACCCGCGGACCGACCCGTTCCCAAAACGCTCCACAATTTTTAGTGTGGGTCTACTAATAACGATGAGTGACTTTCTATGTATACTGAGCGTAATTGCCATCGAATTTCTTTCGCGTACATTAGTCCACAAAGGCTGCCATTGCTTTACCATGCGCTCTAGAGTTCATTCTACGCATGCGCATACACTTCACGCATGCGCCGTAGTGGAACTGCGTTTTGTGAACGAACGCAAAAAAAAAAAAAACAAGCCGAATTTATACCTCGGGCGTTTCCTTCGGAAAGCCCGAGTAAAGAGCCCTTCTGTTAAAGCTATAAGGAATCATGAGCGTGAGAGCCAGACATTACAGGAATTCGATGAAGAATAGCAAAAAAATCTCGCCGAAACGGACAAGGGCTCACACCTCGGACTCCACCGCCTCCTTGGGGTCAGTAAGAGTTGAAATTGACGGCGCCGCTGAAACTTTCCTTTGCCTGGAATTTCTTCTCTTCGCCGGCATTCCGAAGCTCTGTCACGCATTACTGCTGGATAATTTTGTTGAAAAGTACATTTTATAACCTTTCCACTGATTATAATTTATGGTGGTTAGCGCGATAACAATTTTTTTCGCGAAGGACACCCGTGAAGGTCTACCGTATCCTTAATTGACCACGCACATGCTTGCCACTGACTTAGATATCAGTTAGAACTAGTGGTACATGTGATTCAAATTTCTAAACTCACTTCCTCAGTTAGAAGAAATTTAAAAGCTAAGATAAGCTTGTCGTTTAGGTTGCCCTCCGAGGTACCTACTAAAGAAAAAGACTTTATCCAAAACTTCTATGGGTGATGTTCTTTGCCAATTTCAGGTTTGGCGAGGGATCTCTTCCATGCGTAGTTTCCAAGTCTGCTTTCCTTTTAATTTTCTGTTACTAGCAAAAATGGTCCAAAGGGAAAAAAAGCTGAATATTAATTCATGGATTTCCAGCTGGTGCTATTGAGTGGACCCATGTGAATTTCCTTTGATCGAATCTTAATTTTTAATTTTGGTAATAGAAACAATTACTTGACAGACGAGAGAAGAAATCGTTAACAAAAAATCATAATTCGATCAGACAAATCACTTAGCTCAAGTTACTTTTAATCGATGATAATTTCGAAATTGATCCTTACTCACTGCTTATAGTCGTGTATCAAAAATGCCCATTTTCACTCAAGTGGCTGTTATTTAACAATTATTCGCCGAAGGCGAGGTGAATATCGTCGAATAATCCCCGAGACGAAGTCGAGGGGATTATTCGACAATATTCACCGAACCTGAGGCGAATAATTGTTTCAGTATCATTTCAGAGCTGAACAACAGAGAAATTTCTAAAATCATAATATTTTACTAACTTTATTGACATTTTAGTGTAACATTTTATATAAACCGCGCGGAGCGGTTTATATAGCGTCATATAAGGAACCGCTCGACCAATCAGATTGCTGGAAACTCTTTGTTCAGCTCTGAAATTATACTAATTTCCGATTAGAAATTGGCTTAATTGTGAAAGAAATTTTCTTAATATGATGCCTACACGGCATTTAAAGGAAATAAAGGGACCGTGAACATTTCTACTCAGAATATTTTCAGTTCCTGCTCTAGACACTCCTTATGAATTTGAACCAGAAACATTTCAAAGTTTCAAGTCAAAGCTACTCGTGTTGCTCATATTGCAGCACAATTTCTATTGAACTGCAAAACGCTTTTTTCAGTTTTTTTGACATCACTTACTACTACCCTTTTTCAGTATCTACTTGCTTATGTCTTAAACATTGTTTGGCGGAAACAGCAATTTATGATCATTGATTTTTCTTTATTCACAACAGGTTCAACAGTTCCATGTCCCAAAGGCCAGACTGGCGTTTTTCCAAACTGCACAGGTAA